AAGTCTGAAATTTTTGGGTTCATATCGTAATCCACTAAAATTTTGCTGGCTTTTAAGATCTCTATGAACTATTTGTAGTCTTGAATCTTAGGGAAGGTAAAGAAGTCGATGAACAATCCCATTGATAATGTGGTGGCGCTTAGGCCAGTCTACTATTTTGCTCTGTGTTTGATCTGCCTAATTTTTTCATCCAACTCAATCTATTCTGCTTCCTATCAGATTCATAAACATATGCAAAAGCAAGTCTAAAATAAATTTGTAAGGTTCGGAAACTCAAACTAAAAATTAGGTTGTCCAAGCTTTTTTTAGGCATAAGCTCGTAGATTAACATCCTTTCATCTGCTTGAATGCTGCATCCAAGAAGCTTAACTAGGTTTCGGTGTTGAAGTTTGCTTAAAGTGGATCATAATTTTTTACTCTACTTTAGAATATCAGATAACGGTGGGCATGTTTGTATGGCAATACCTTATGCTGGAACATGCCACCTTCACCAAACCATCTTTAAGACTCATATTGCTCAGCATCATTAACCCATGTGGTGTGGACATCATTTAACATAAGGCAGATGTGCAAAAACAAAAGAAATCTCAAAAGTTATCCACCGATTCCCCTGAAGCCATTAGTTTCCATCATCTACCAACTTATTTTCAAGGATATATTGATTACGAGAGAATGTTTCCTTGATATATAAATTTAAACAACATACTTTTATGCAAGTTCTTTCTGCAAATACAATATATATTCATAATTTGGGTAAACTCTTCAGAGGGTGAAGATGAATTCCCCATATCCAGTGATGACACAGGTTAAGAAATCCACTAATCAAACACAAAATAACTACAAAAATAAGAAATAAATGACAAAATATCTGCTAAATGAGAAATAAAGCATAAAATTACTGAATGAGAGTTGAACCTTAAAAACAGAAATATGAATATAACCCCTACATGTACCTCTGAGATTTAAAAGCTGACAGCATTAACATTGCTTGTTCTTCTATCAAATTTTTCCGCTTCAAAAAGAGCTCCAATTCAGCCACCCGCAACTTCCTCCACTTCTCCTTCATCTCTGCCTTCTTCCTCCCATGCACAAAATCCAATCCCCTCCTCACAACATAATAATCCATTCCGCTAACACTAACACTGTTATAAAACTCCGAAACCTTTTTGACACTTGAATGTCTCTCCATCTCACCTTCCATTCTGTCCTCCCCCACATCAATATCCAACTCAGCCCTCAACACCTCTGAGGGTTCGGGATTTTTTGGGGTTGACTTTTGGGTTCGAGTGGTTTTGGTTTGTGGTTGAGGAGGAGGGGGTTGATTTTGTTCATCATCGGATACCTCTTCCTCCTCGCCACTGGAAGTTTCTTCCTCTTCTTCTTCAGAGCTAGAAGCAGAGGGTGGATCTTCAACGGGAGGGGGGCGTTTTGGTGCCATTAAGAAACAGAGAGTTAGGGTTTCGAAAGATGGTTTGATTCGCAGCAGCAGGGTGGGTCTTTGAGAGAAGACAGAGAGCCGGCCCTAAACAAGTTTAAAAGGAAGACAAGGCGCTGATTGTAGGTTTATTGTTGAATTTCTCACGATAATTTTAGTTTCTAGCCATCCGAATGTTGTTAATAGAGAATAGATAATTAATATTAAATAAAAACTTTAAAGTGATTTTTGTTTTAATACATTACTATATCATAAATTTGTTGTTTCCATACATTAATTATCTTTGGATCTTACTAAAATAATAACAAGTGAGAAACCTTTGAATCCTTGGACACACATATATATATCTGTGTGCGTGTGATTATAAATTAATACATGATTTAAGTTCATGTTATTTAAAAATATATATATATATATATATATATTTTATTGAAAACATGTATTAATTTATCGTCACACACATACACACACAATATATGTGTATGTGTGTCCAAGGATTTAAAGGTTTCTTATTTGTTATTATACGTGTGTGTGTGTGAGAGACGATAAATTAATACATGTTTTCAATAAAAAAAGATAATATTTTAAAATAACATGAACTTAAATTTTAATAAATACAAAAAAGATATTTTTATTTTATTTTTAATTTTAATTTTTTCGTATATAATTAATTCTTTTTGTAGTGTTAGCTAATCTCAAAAGATATTAGATGTATCTAAAAAAAAATCATTAAAATAACAACACATAAAATTAAACATTCTTTCAAATAAAAGTAAAATAACAAAAAATAAAAATTAAATGCCCTAAATGTTTGGTAAAAGCTAATTGAAATCCATAATGCTAATGTAAGCAAAATTTATGGCACTAAATCTTAATTTTCCACAATTGTTAAAACATACGTTTTTTTAGTCGTTGAGTTACTAAGTGTTTAGTACTCAATCATCCACATTTCAAAATAACAAATGTTAAAGCATATGGGGTACTTCTGATTGTTCTTTCCCCTTCAAAGAACAGCTAACTAAATATTTTTAATATTTTCAATTTGCTTATAACAAAAGTACATCTTAATTTCCACAATTTTCTTAATATATATATATATATATATATATCTTGAAATTATGTGTGAAAAATATAGAAAATAAATCGTTATTTTTTTAATTTTACATACAGTTTGAAAATAATAGAATATATGTTATGTTTTTTTTTAAGATTTTAGTTTGAACATATATATATATATATATATATATATATTACTCTTATTGTTTAAATTTTATTTTTTTAATTATTTGTTTCTTATTAAAATTCTCATCAAATTAATTTTTTGATATAATTTTATTTGTTAATAAATTTGGTTTTTTAATATATGAATTTTGGAATAAAATTTTAGAATGTTAGTGTTTTATTTTTTAAAAATATATTATTATAATTTAAACAATAAATTATTGTTATGCTTTTTAAATGAGTGTTTTATTTTTATATATATATATATATATATATATATGAGAGAGAGAGAGAGAGAGAGAGAGAGAGAGAGAGAGAGAGAGCTAAAAGTATATTTTAGATAGTTTAACTTAATTTTTTTAAAAAAATTAATAATCGATTAAAAAATTAACAAGTTTTATTTTCTTTTTCTATATATTTATTCGAATTTATCAAAACCAAATTTATTGTAGTTTTTGTTTTAATCTATTGACTTCAATATATTTCATACAGTTTAGGTGATTTTTTTTATATTGAGTATATATATTTATTTGCTTTATATATATATATATATATATATATATATATATATATATATATATATATATATATATATATATATATATATATATATATTCAGAATTTATCAAAACCAAATTTGTTGTAGTTTTTATTTTATATGTTGACTTTAGTATATTTCATACAATTTAGGTGAGTTTTTTTTTCTATTTATTCTATATACTCTAAATGATATTTATATTTCATTAGTTTTGTTAGAAATTAACTATATATCCGTACACGTAATATCAATTATTTATTATTTATTTCTTTCATATTGTAAAATTTATTTTTTAAAATAAAATAAGTTAGATAATGTTTTGAAAGAACGTCTTAATTATTCAAATACAAATTTTTATACTAATATTATTAAATATTTTGTTAATAAATATATATAAATCAAACGCGTTCGCTCAATATATAGATTTGATTTATATTAATTACAAGTAATAAGACTTCTATTCGTACTATACCATACCAATTGTTAACTCTACGTGTATAAAAATTATTTGGGCATAACGTAGCGTGTGTATCTAACTAGTATTGACTACATATAATTTACAATAAATTATTGTTATGCTTTTTAAATGAGTGTTTTGTTTTTTAAAATATATATATATATATATATATATATATATATATATATATATATATATATAGAGAGAGAGAGAGAGAGAGAGAGAGAGAGAGAGAGAGAGAGAGAGAGAGAGATAGCTAAAAGTATGTTTTAGATAATTTAACTTAATTTTTTTAAAAAATTAATAATTAGTTAAAAAACTAACAAGTTTTATTTGCTTTTTATATATATTTATTCAGAATTTATCAAAACCAATTTATTGTAGTTTTTATTTTAATCAATTGACTTCAATATATTTCTTACAATTTAGGTGATTTTTTTTTATATTGAGTGTATATATATATATATATATATTTTTCTTTTTTTATATATATTTATTCAGAATTTATCAAAACCAAATTTGTTGCGGTTTTTATTTTATTTGTTGACTTTAGTATATTTCATACAATTTAGGTGAGTTTTTTTTTATATATTTTTTTATTTATTCTATATACTCTAAATGATATATATATTTCATTAGTTTTACTAGAAATTAACTATATATCCGAACATGTAATATCAATTACTTGTTATTTATTTTTTAAAATAAAATAAGTTAGATAATGTTTTGAAAGAACCTCCTAACTATTCAAATACAATTTTTTATACTAATATTATTAAATATTTTGTTAATAAATATATATAAATCAAACGATTTCGCTCAATATATAAATTTGATTTATATTAATTATAAAAAATAAAATTTCTATTCGTACTGTACCATACCAATTGTTAACTCTACGTGTATAAAAATTATTTGACCGCAGTGTAGCGTGAGTATCTAATTAGTATCGACTAAAATGAGACATTATTATAATATAGATTGTTTGAACATCTTTTCAATGTTAATTATTGTTTTTTTTTTCCAATTGTCGATTCTTCTGATTTGATTTTTAAATGATATAAATAATTAATTCTATATTTTATTTTTTTCATTCATCAAATATATTCATGAAATATATTTAAAACCCAAAAATGAAAACGTATTTATTAAACTAGTTGAAATTTAAAATAATAGGGTGCCTAGCAAAACTCATTTATCCAAAACAAGCCGCTGAATCGTAACCTCAGCCTTGAGGCTGCAGTAGTTACGTACTAAAAGGCTCTTCGCACTGATGGGCCGTGTGGGCTACTTCGATTGATTAGATGCTGCATAGTTAGCGATGAGCGATGGCAACTACCATCGAAAATCTAGAGAAACGGCGTCGTATCTAAGGCCTGGACGCTAGATATATGGTACCCAACGCATATTCGTTCAAAAGGTTCTGTTTTCCCAAGAGAGCCAACTGTCCAGTAGAACAAACCGACGACGCCGACTAAAATACCGCAAATGCCCCAGCCATCTTGAGAAGACATGGACTTTATGTGTCGAATTTATGATAGTTCAACAGTGTTAAAACTGTCAAAAAAAAAAAAAAAATCCACAAGAATCTTTTTTGTAGTCAACGAAACATTAAAGTCCTTCGCTCAAGAAGGTAAAAGGTTAATTGGCTAAAGCCATGAAAATTTTAAAATTTTCTCGAAGAGGTTTCTGTTTCTCTATTCTGGCAAAGCCTCCAATGAGGTGATTCTTGGTTCTTCTGCATTACTCTCTGTTTCATGGCTTGAATAAGGTAATGTTAGTGCTGCCTCACCATTTTTTTCAAATACTCAGTCCATCAAATGATACATACATATATATTGTTTCTTCTGGGTTCTTTGTCGTGAATGTTTAATAATTTCATTATCTATCTTCTTCTTCTTGTTTTTTCTTTTTTTTTTTTTTGGATGAATAATTTTCTGTTTGTTTGCTGATGAAATGCCTCAGGAAAGAAAATGAAAAATTTCTTCTAACTCTTAAGTTGTTATGGGATCCAGACAGATTCTGAGTGTTTTGGTTTAATTTTTCTGAACCAGTATTTTGGTTTAATATGTTTTATGTTTAGGGCTCGCCTAACGTAAACCTTAATTAGGACATACGTTAACAGTTAATTATATTTTTCCCGCCGGTAATTCATGGCTAAGTGTTGAGAGGACATATTTTAGAAAAATCGTTTCATTTAAATGGATTTTATCTCTGTCTGTGAATATAACCGGATGGGAAAAAAGAACTATCAGAAACGGAACCACAAGTTCATAACAGCCGTGGCGCCTTCTTAACGGCGGTCCAGGCAAAGAAAGAGAAATAGGAAATTAATGGTCTTTTCTCGATCCAAGTGAAAACATGGCCGAGCTTGAACTTGGGCCAGGCCGGGCCAGGAGAATAGGTAAATGCTTTAATTTGATATCTTTGAAAAATTTAATGGATTTTTAGTTCGTTATTTGAAATTAGATGGATCCCGTGTTATGCTCAAAGGAGTAGAGTAAGAAGAGAGAATCCCTCATTATTTTGGTTTGGTTAAATGGGCAACCTCACCTTAACTTTAACAATTGACATAAAAATTAGTTTTTAAACTTCTAATTTCAATTTTTATCTCTCTTAATATATATATATATATATTTTTGAGATTTTAGTTCATTTCCAACTATAACCTATTTTAAAAATTTTCAATTCTGGGTATTTTGACTTGAAATTTTGTATACACATTGAAAAAATCCAATCTATTTTTCAAAAAAAATTCCATAATTTTTCAAAGTTAGGAAGTAAATTATTTTACTTTTTGAACATTAAAAATGTAGAAAATTAAAAATAACCCAAAATGATTCTAATTTTTTTGAGAAGTTTTAGATAAATTTTACTGAGTGATTTTCATAAAGAGACTATTTATATGATTATTATTTTTTTTTATTGAAAACTAAAGTATGGATTGAATCTCAAAAAAGTAAAATTAAAAAAAAAACTAAAATTAAAAGTTTAAAAACGAATTTTTAAACAAATTAAAATTCAAAAGAGATTTGATTCATTTAGTTTTTGGTTTACACACAAGCTTAAATGATTGTACCATCCGACAAGAGACAAACATGAGAGTGCTTATAACCAAAATCAATATATACAGGATTGTTTGAGCTTTATGATTAAGACCAATCATCAGTTCAATCGACTTCACTTGCTTCCGTCTTCATCTATCATTAAGAACGGAGTTAACCATTCATATGAATTTTCTTTTATTGGATAAATTGAATGAGAATTATATTTATTCTTTCGCTTTTAGCTCATTTTGGTATAAAATCCTAAGAAGTCCAAGAGGAGGGACTAGTTTTGGTGTGCAAAATCCTGAACCCGAACTCCTATTGCTTAATAATGTTTTAAGAACTGTTTAGATGTTAATTTTCCTGTCTTGTTTAAAGTTTTAGAGTCAAGGTTGGATGGGATGGGAGATTAAGTGAGCACAAAGCAAGGAAGCATTACTGTGTATGCTTTTTATTCCTTCTACGTGACTTCTAAGGATCAATGGCATAAAATGGTGGACTGGTGTTTCCTGAGTTGGTGAAATTTGAGAATTAATAGACTACAAAACTCCGTGAAATCAAACTCCAAATTGCCATCAATTTTCCCGTATATGTGAACCAAGGTATGTTCATCCATGATCCAATCTGAACCTTGATAGATTTATTCTTATTGATCCAATCCTCCTGCTCCTCTTTGTTCGATTTGAATTGGCAAGTTAGCTCTTTTGTCTGAGCTTTAAACCAAGGTTAGTTCATTTCTATACATAGCTGTCATTACATTAAATGAAGTAATAGTCTAAGATTAAATCATAAATAGTTTATGTTTGTTGTATTTGTTTTGCAAAATGTTGTCCGCTCCTAGATAGTTGTCGTCTTCTGCTTTTTTCCCCGCTTTACCTTTGCTTTGATCTCCAATGCTTCTTTCTCATTGTTGTACTCCTTTACGTTTGTGCTTTTTTGATGGATGCTTCTGTTGCCCAGAAGCGGCATGTAGGGTCGTGTAAATCATGTTTTAGAAGCTAATCCATTAACACAGTTTTGATTCTTTTTTCATCCTTGTGCTATTGTCCCCTTCCTCTCCGTTTTATTGCCCTCCAGTTTAGATTATTATACCTCTAACAAAACTGTTCTCTGATCCGGCCCCATTAAAGAAAATCTTCTTCTGTTTGTTTGGAAAGGGCATGGGGTTAGTGGGGTTCGCATATTTGGTGCTTACCATGTGCCTAGTTGTTGTGTGAGGTAATTCGTTTGATAGGTACACAGCTGCCCGTTCTTTTGTGAGCCATGGCATGGGCACAGAATACCAAAGGTATCACTATTATTTACAATAAAAACCAACCTTCTTGGGGATTTTTCTATTAAAAGTTAATAGGCCACTTTATTTTCCTTCTGATCGAAAAACATCTATGGGTTACATAAACAATAATACTGGGGTTAGCCCTTATGTAAATAGGACACAGCCTCTGCACCTGCTAACCATTTCCACAATCTTATAAGTTACTAATGGAGGCAACATTAGAGGCAAGCTATGCTAATGGAGCAGCCTAATTTCATAACCTTGCTAATTAAATCTTGGAGATTACGTATTGTTAGATCTGCATTTATTGATTTTCAACTTTTAGTCTCGTAGGCCTCTTAATTAACCGTTAAGTAAAACGGGTGGACTTTATGTTTCTAGTTCTTTCTATAGTTTTATTTCTTTAATCAGCAACCAAGGTTTTGCATTCTAGAAAAGAACAACAAAATAAGGTTTTACTTGTCTAGCTCTATAGACGAATCAAAAGTAAATAACCAGTAAATGAATTTACTCTTTACTTTATTATTCCATTTTTTTATTTTGGATAATCATTATTCTATGTTTGGATTAAGGAAGACTCCATAATTTGTTTTTTTTTTTTAATAAATACTTAGTTTTGGTTTGTGAAAGCTTTTCCCAGAACATGCTTTAAATTAGGAACAAAATAATAGCAATAACAAAAAGAAAAAGTAATATATTAAGGAATTAAATTGACCACGGAGATCTCTCGGTCCTTTTCAACTCCACGTGTCAGAAAACGAGGAATCCAATGATGTCTCCCAGTACACTCTAGCAACACCTGTGCCTTCCTTGCCGCACTCTCGTTTTCAAATCGCCAACCTCCCTCTTGTCCACACGTCTACAAAACTTAACGTCAGACTTAACGTTTCCTTACCGTCAAATCTAACCGCCGTTAGTCCTCGGCCCTGTAGAAAACGTACTCATTCATTTATTTTTTTCCACCTGTCCACCCGTCCCCTCCCAAACCTCTAGCTTTGTTTTCCAAACCTATCAACAGCCACGATCAATCTTCAAAATTCAAAGGACTAGATGAAATATAACAAAATCACTACATAAAAACACTCTCGCTCGAATCCCATTGTTACGAAAGGTACTAAAAACGCTAAAAAGCTTCATTTTCTGCTCCGAAACGCCAGTGGGTTAGGGATTTGGTTGTTGTTTGAGAGATGGGAGAGCATGATAAGGAGGATTCAGTGGTTGAGTCGGTGAAGGAAAACATATCGGAGAAGATCCACAGCCACGATTCGTCGTCGGATTCTGATTCCGATCACGGGAAATCGAAATCTGATTCCGACTCCCTCAAATCTAAGATTTATCGCCTTTTTGGTCGTGAAAAGCCTGTGCACAAGGTTTTCGGTGGCGGCAAACGTATGTTTTCTTTTTTCATAATTTTAAATAATTTTTAGTCCTTTTTTGTGATGATTGTGTGCGACGCGCTTGGTTACGAGGATAGGGAAAGTCTTGTGCTTTTTTTTTTTAGGTTTTTTTAGTCTGATTGTTTTTAAAATTTTTAATATATATATATATATATTTTTTGCTGTTTAGTGCTTTTATTTTTTAGTGTAATTTTGTTGTGTGGCGTGATTACTTTTTAGTTTTTGATGAAACGGGAAACTTGTGCTATGTTGGTGTTTTGTGAGAGTGATTGTATGGTTGATTTGTTAGTAACCAAACAGGCACCTAAAATCAGTGCTCTTTCTGGTGTTTTAAGTATGATTTGTTGTTTTTCAACGTTTTTATGGGTTTTTTTTTTTTTTTTTTGGCTGTTTAGGCGCTTTCAAGAGTGAGTTTTTTGTGTGTTGTGTTTGATTATGAGGGTCATATTTTTTCTTAGATTCCCTTATAATGTTTGATTTATTAGAAATGAAACATGAGCTAAAATGGGTGATTTTTTTTGCTGCATGGTATTAAATTGTGATTTCCTTTCGTGGTATTTATTTGTCTTAAAGATCTAGATCTGGTTCTGTGTGATTTAACGGATCTGGTTGTGTGATATTGGCTAATTAGTGGTGCAGGTTAGGAGGATAAAAAGGTAGGGAATCTATTCTAATGGTGGTTTAGAGTGTTAATGTGATTGGTTCTAATAGAGTTTTAGGCTCTAAAAATGTTATCTTTATATAGCCTGATGTGAAACCCCAACTGCGATGTCCTGTCAATCTTTTCAAAGATAAAATAAGCTGAATAATTATATTAAAAGTGTTAATTAATTAGATTTCCTTCTTGGGCTTAAAGAAGTTATGGTTATAAGAATGTCTCAAATGAAGCCAGCTTTGTGAATTCTCTAAGTAGATGGTTGAACTGCGATCTAGTGTCCTGCTTTAACGACACTATAGCTAACTTTTCTTGAATGAATTACCTATTTCCCCTGAGAGGAAACTTGGAGTTTTTTCTATGTCTAATATGTGTAAATTGGTAATTGTGAAATAGCTGCTGACATTTTCCTATGGAGGAACAAGAAGATATCAGCAGGAGTGCTTGTTGGTGCAACTGCTATATGGATTCTGTTTGAATTGCTTGAATACCACCTTCTTACTTTGGTTTGCCACTGCTTGATCCTTGCTCTTGCATTACTGTTCTTGTGGTCCAATGCCTCAACCTTCATCAACAAGTGAGTTTTCAGTCTTGGGTTAATCACATTTATCAAGTTTGTAAATTTGTTTGTTCTTAATGGCTTTTTTTTTTTTTTTTTTTTCCCTTTAGGTCCCCACCACGTATCCCAGAAGTTTGTATCCCTCAGGAACCAGTTCTACAGATAGCCGCTGCACTTAGGATTGAGATCAATCGGGGCTTTGCTGTCCTGCGGGATATTGCATCAGGAAGGGATCTGAAGAAGTTCCTTACTGTAAGTTGATCGATTAATCGAACAATGCATCATCATAACATGTCTCTGTATTGTTGTTTCAATGCAAGGGTGTGCTAAACTCTAGATATAAACAATTTGGATTGCATGTGAAAGACTGTTTATTTTTGTCATGTTGCACACGACTGTCTTAGTGATCTCATAGGCATTATGATTCTGTTTGGGTGAAACTCACGACCCTTGTTATTTATTTATGGAAACATGATAGCGATCCTGGGTCGGCCGTTACGTTGTGGCATGATTGTTGAAGATATGGGGCATTGCATTGCTAACTTTGTATCTTATTCTTGCTCCTCTGAGGTCACATGGCTTCAAGTTTTAAGTGCAATATGTTGACCATGTGTGTAAATGGCACTATGTTTAATCAGGTTATTGCTGGCTTGTGGGTCTTGTCTATCGTAGGGAGCTGGTGCAACTTCTTGACCTTGTTCTACATTGGTAATATACTTGTTATTACTGCTTAGATATTTTCATGATTTTTCATTATAAGCTCATGATGTGGATTTTCATTTGTTTTCCAAACAGTTTTTGTGTTGCTTCACACAGTACCTGTCTTATATGAGAAGTACGAGGATCAGGTAGATGCATTTGCAGAGAAGGCAATGATTGAGATCAAGAAGCAATATGCAGTTTTTGATGCTAAGGTTATAAGTAAGATTCCTAGGGGGCCATTGAAGGGTAAGAAAAAGGAGTAGAAGGTTTTCCAGTGACTGCTAGGTTCTGACACAAATTTGATAGCCGTGTGCTTTGTGACGTTAAAACTTTTGTCCAATATTGCTTAGAACCCTTTTTTTCTTCTTTTGTTTTTCCCCTCCTATGAGATCTCTGGGTTCAAATGTGGATGAATGTGGGATTCTTATAGTTGCTTCTGCTACATGTATCTTCTGTGAGTGGTCTTGTGACCTTGTTGTTATATTACGTATTAATTAGATGCTTGTATATTGGGTTTTTATTTTTCTTTTTGCAACTTGGTCTTGTTTTTTTTTATGTTTTACGTGAATGGTACCTACGCATAGAGGTTCATGGATCATTACCCCCATGCGTAACCTTGATGTTTGTGGAGGAACTGGAAGTGCATTTGCACGGCACAACTGTACTCTTTGAGGATGACTGCTGCATTACGAATTCTCATTTGGTCAGTTTAACTCGTTCTCTCTGGGCTTCACTTGCCGCTGCAGAATGCCTTTATATAACAAGCTGTGAACTTTACATATACCCTTATGCATTTGATAAATCTTTTGAGCTCGGGAAGCTGAGGCCTGAATGTCGACGTGTTACTACAATAACTTGGTTTTAAATTGACATCGTTGTTGTGAAAGCAGTTGTCATCGTAATTGTGGTTTATTAAAATGGTTTAAGTATTTGTTAATAAATTTATTTTTATTTATATATTTTTAATAGTTCTGTTAATCAAATGTAATAATTCTTTTAACGTTATATGATAATATTTGAATTTATTAAAAAAAAAAACTCGGTTGATGACAAGATAATGGAAATTGCATATGATGTTATTTAATATTGTTTGTATAAAATATTACTGCACTCTAACCACGACAACGGTTATATATGAATCCTCAAATATATCATTACGTTTTTATAATAACAACAGATATTTCTTATAATGATGACATTATTTATAACTATGGTCGTGAGGGTTGAATTTGCATGCCTACAACTGCATTTCGGAAGGTTTCCGTGCGTGAAGAGCGTTGGTTGGGGTGGGTGTAGTCTGGTTGGGGTGGGTGTAGTCTTAGAGCCTAAGCAAAAGGTTGTGAGAGATTAGTTTGAATTGATGACCACCTGTCTAGGATGCCCTGCCTGAGATACACTCAGGCAGATTTAGCTTTTCTTTGGTAGGGCAGTATAAATGTTTTTGTACAAATATGTCTGAATTTAAAAATTATTAAATAGGCTAAAATAGTCTTAACAATTTCTGAATTTTAAGTGACTTGATAATGAGTTCTAGAATTTTTTTTTTTATTAGTTCTGGAAATGTCTAAACTTTATAATTTTTGAAATTAAGTCTATTCAATTTTTTTATCTTCCCGTTAGAGATAAAGGAGGATATGTACATGAAAATGTAAAATACATGTGTCAAACTAAAAATAACGGAGAATGCCTATCATTTTTTATTTTATATTTTATAAAACCTAACCCACTTTAACTAATTATGAACTAATATCTAGTTTCACAATTAGCTGTATTAATTCACCCATTCAAAAAAAATAAATTCAATTAGGAGCTTGATCGAAGAGAAATGAAAGTAGGAAATACATGCAAAATAAGGGACCAAAATAAAGTTTGGTATCAATCCCTGAAACCTACATATAAAAGCTCCTTTAAAAAAAAAAAAAAAAAAACTAGGTAGCAGTCCCTTCTTTCTCAAAAAATTACCTAAAAAACTAAGAGAACCGGTACAAATGAACACAAATTACTGTTCATTTGCCTAGTTTACTATTCATTAATGGCAATTTTGTAATTCTCTATAATGGTATTTTTATAATTTTTAGAGCTTTTTTGGTATTTATTTTCAAATTTTACACTTTATTCCTTTTTGGTTTCTTATGTTTTCAAAATATATTTTAAATCCTTATATTTTTAAAAATATTCTGACATCTCATGTTTTTAACTTAGTCCTTTTTTGTCTCATAGTTTTTCAAAATATATTTTTTGTTCCCGATTTTTTAAAAAATATTTTTGGCCTTTTATATTTTTAAATTTTAGAATAAACACATATATCGGATTATATTTTTTTATTGATTAAAATTAATCTTTTAAATTTATTTTTTATTATAAAAATTCTTATCAAATTAAATTTTTTGTTCCTACTTTTGGTTTAAAAAATAAATTTTTTAATTAGTGTTGACCATCGATAATTTATTTTTTTATTTTATAAAATATTTTTTCATATTTTTTTTATTCTTTTTCTATTTCTTAAAAAAAAAAAACATTGAAATAGCAAAAAGGTCAAAAACATCTTTTAAAAAATTAAAAAAATTATTTTTGAAACCAAAAGAATTAATTCATTCTTTTTTCAAAATGAGAAGAGCTAATTTATAATTTAATTTGTAATTCAAGAATCTCTTTTATCATAAATTAAGAAGTAAAATTTATGAGAACCAATTTTGTAATTGTTTTTATTTAAATTTATAAAATTTAATATATTCCATACAACTTATATGGGTTTTTTTTTTTAAAATTATTTATACTATATATTCTGAAATTTACTAAGTATGATCATATATATATATATATATATATCATTAATTTTATTGAAAATTAATTATATATCTACATACATAACATTAATTATTTGTTATTTTTTTTTATGTTTTAAAATCAATATTTTTTAATAAAATAATTAAAATATATATCATTAGTTTTGTTAGAAATTAATTATGTATTTTTATACATAACATCAATTATTTGTTATTTATTTTTTTTAATGTTCTAAAATCAACATTTTTTGAATAAAATAATTGAAATAATGTTTTGAAAAAACATTTTAATTATTCAAATACAAAATTCTATGTTAATATTATTGATTATTTTTTTAATAAATATATATAAATCAAGCGATTTTGTTCAACAACTAAATTTGATTTACATTAATTACAAGAAATAAGATTTTCACCCGCATTATATAATATAAATCATTGACATTATACATATAATGATCGTCCAACCATAAAGTAAGTAGCCAACCATAAAGTAAGTAGCTTGGGTATCTAATTAGTTTTATCTAGTTGAACTGTCGTCAAACTCAGTTGTTGGAACACCAGCAGAAGTCAAAACTCACTACTATACACATTTTAAACCTGGTATGTAGAAACTACCATGAGAATTGGGGAAAACAAAATCGTCACCATGACCATGAGTTTAATTGCGTTAAGGCTAAGAGGAGATTGAGACAGCTGATGAAATCCTTCTAAGGAGCTTAGTAGCTCCTCCCGTTCTTCCCATGAAAGTGGGGAAAAAAAAAAAACGAAAAAAAGCAACACCAGCGGTAGCAAGCAGCCAAGCACAACCAGTTCCAATCATCATCTTTTCGAACAATCATTGGTAAGAAACAAGAAGTAAAATTTCACTACGTTGAAACCCATGCACAACAGATGAGAAATGGCCCACTGCCCGTCAGAAATTCAGGACGCCTGGGATTCACAGGTTACAGCATGGGGCCAGTAGCCGGATACAATTGACACGAGCACTGCCTAGAAACACTATAAAAAGAAGATTCAATTATTTCATTTTCATTGGGAAGCATGGCCCAAGTGTCAAGTTGCAGCTCTTATTCCTAGGGTCTGTCTATCGGAAGCATTATACACGCATCACATATAGGTATTAGGTAATACAACATTATATGATGGTAAGGTTTAACAGAAAGTAGTTTTTTCCCCATCATTTGCCTTTCGCATTTCCTCAATCCATCTCCGTCCATCTGTTCAATTTAGTCGAGGCCTGAGAAGAAAACCTCGAGGACAGAGAAGAAAGCTTTGGCAATCCATCCAATGTTCTTCGTCTCTTCGAGTAAACGGACAAGAGCTTCCATGGTTGCAGTTTCTAATTTCATCTCATAAGAAGTAGGTTAACTGCTGCTTTTTCCTTGAACCTCCTTCCCCAAACAATTCATTCCACTGCTGCAACTCGTTCATTGAAGCTCCTTCTGCGGCAAAGCTAGCGGCAACCTGCATCACCAAGAGACAAATACAAAGAGAGAGAAAAAATAACTGCTTTTTTTTTTAAAAAAAAACTTGATCTATAGTTCAATTTAAAATCATTTAAGCTCTTCTCTTTTTATTTCCCTTAACTTTCAGCCTAGGATCATTCTTGTGCTGTTTCTTTCTGTGTGCTCAAGATACAGGAAGAGAGCGATTTTACCTGATTCTTTGCAAGCTTAAAGTCTTCCATTTTCAGTGGTCTAAGGGTGATGACTCTCTCCTCTTTTTCGTCTTCTTTTGTATCAGTAGCTTCCCCTGATTTTTGTGATGCTTCGGTTCTTTGTTTTTTTGCCTGCAAATAGAGAGAGGTTCGGAAAGAAGAGAAAATTTAAGTTACTCTTCAAGCATTCTTGTAGAAGTATGGTTGGTCAAAAAATTTTCAGTTCATGATATAACCGAAATTTCAAGTAACGGAAGAAAAAATACTTACCAAATCCTTTAATCTTTCTTGCTGTATCAGTTCCCTGACAGGCCGATAGGCAGCTGTAGTGCACAAGTTCTGTTTTAAATAGCCCTAGCACGGTCAATAAAGGCACGAATGATGCATCAGATACCAAAATGACTGTAAGCAATACACACCTTAAGATCGCTTCCTGAATATCCTTCTGTCATAGTAGCAAGCTCATTAAAATCTAGTCCTTCTTCCACTTTTTCTTTTACCAAGAGAGTTTTCAAAATCCTTTCCCTGTGCTCCGCAGAAGGAAGCCCCACCATAATTCTGCACATTATGTTAACACAGTCAGCACGGACAATTATTAAGCTGTGGTTTGAAATTTAATCTTAGCATTGTATTTAGTCCGTTTTATGAATCTTATAATTCAGAATATTAGTAGTGCCCCAGTTGCAGATTATCAACTCTCCTTCTCTAAGGCAAAACAAGGCAAAAGTGCAAATACAAACAAATGCAGATTGAAACGCTAAAGGCACAAGCAATGACAGGGCTATAAGCTATAATACAGATAGCCACCTCCGCTCAAAACGCCTAATGATTGCTTCATCAAGGTCAAATGGCCGGTTGGTTGCAGCAAGCACAAGTATGCGCTCACCCTGATTTGTCAAAAGCCCATCCCAGTGAGTCATGAACTCATTTTTTATCTTCCTCATTGCTTCATGCTCCCCAGCTCTACTTCGCTGCCCAAGCATGCTGTCAACCTCATCTACAAATATAATAGTTGGGGAAACCTTTGCTGCCAGTGTGAACAAAGCTCGGACATTCTTCTCATCTTCACCAAACCATTTGGAAGTAATGGTTGACATGGATACGTTGATGAAGCTAGCTCCAGCTTCCTTAGCAATAGCTTTCGCAAGCATTGTCTTCCCAGTTCCAGGAGGACCAAACAGCAAAATTCCCCTGCAAGGCTTTAGCAGTCCTCCTTTAAAGAGGTCTGGTCTTCGAAGAGGAAGCATCACTAGTTCCTGGAGCGATTCTTTGGTCTCTTCCAAGGCACCAATGTCAGCAAACGTTACATTAATCTCGTTTGGTGGTATGACCTCTGGCCTTATGCGTTTTTCAAATTCATTGTCAGGAGGAACTTCCTGAAATCAGATTAATATTTGAGCAGTCAGAGAAAGGGAGAATGTCAGAGCTGCAGATATAAATGGAGTGACTTCCTGAAACCAAAGGGGTTGAACCATATAAAATCTCTAGGTTTTGTAAATTATATCCAAAATTGGGGAAATCTATATTCGTGTGATTGCATATGCAGGTGATAATACTCAGTCACAAATGGAAGCATACAGGAGCTTTTGATGCTGGTAAGGAATTTTCACCATCTGCCTTGACTCCTGAAGCTTTTTTCTCCACTTCACTTCTATTTTCTGGATTTACACCTTCAGCTTTTGTTTCTGGCTTCACAGAAACAGTCTCATTCCCTCCTGCTTTCTATAATTGTTCAGAAGAAGCAAAGCAAAAATTAGTGCTCTGCTTTTTCTGTTTTCTTTTAATCTCTCAAATTCATGTTGAATCACAGATGGGTGTATAAAACCTTGGATGTTTCTGGCTGTGCTTCCAATTTCAATGAATCTTTTCCTGTGGACGCGCTCTCCTGGAATATACTCAATCCATGCGATAAACTGTTTCATAGCTAACACGGTGAATATATGAAGATAATACTTCAAATGTGAGAACACCAATCTAACTGTATAATTACCTTTTGGACGACACAATGAGTTTTCCATTTCTGTATTCAAGATGCTTGTTGTTCATTAAATGATACGAAATTGCAGACACCACAATCTCTTCTATGTAGTTACTGAGAGCCATTGTGTCTGCCACACAGACTGAATCCAGATCATCACAATCAAGATCATTGGCTGAAAGTACTTCCATGATGTGATTTCTATTATCGCGAACTTGGATCATCTTCATATCCTCCTCCAGCTGATTTTTCCAGCTGACAAGATGGGTTCCATCTTCAGGAGGTTTGATTTCAATGTTGTATGGGAAAAGAGCAGTAAGTGTCTCATCCACCTCTCTGGAGTCATTACTCAGATCTACAACTCGTGAACCAAGGATCAGTAGTGGTCCAGACAATTTATTGAACATCTTCTGGAACAAATTGTATATCCTCTTTGATTTGAATAAGATCTTCTCTACATCCCTCAGGTACAGCACAATGGGACTAGTTTTAGACACATGAACCAAAACCTACATGTGAAACAAAAATCGAATGGCCCATGAATTTCTATGTGGGGGCGAGTGGTGACATAAACTAACCTTCAATTTTGGCAACAAATATTAATGCATAACAACACAATATTGGTGCTAAATACGGATAATCCAAAATGCCAGTACCTTGTAAAGAGACTGTATAAGAAGCTTATCATCAAAAGACCAACTGCTCATACGCCTCAAAGGAGCTTTAAAAAAAGAGTGAAGAAATATAAGCAGCAGAAAATATTAGTTGCAGCTCAATTAAATTATAAAGATACTGTAAAAGTGTAAGTATATGTAATTGCATAAAAAGATTTCCAACATGCAGCTCCTGGTAGTACATCACCTCCACATTTATGACATGTAAGCGTGTGAAAGAAATGGTAAATTAGCGTCTGGTCTCTACTACTTTTTAAATAAATATCATTTTCCAAAAAAATACAGTCCATTATTGACTACACATAAATTGAAATGCAAAGTCGACTACATATTGGAACAAAAAGCATCTCTGTCACCCATAAACAGCCCCAAGTTTTGGTAACAGCAACACCCTGAACCTTCAACACATTTACACAATAATGGTAGCAGATAGCTGGACATAAGCGAAGGGAAACTCTTAAATGACGAACTTTATTGCATATTGCATCCTTCAGAGGTCAATACAATCAATATCAATAAGCCAAAAAAAAAAACATTCAGAATATCAAAATCTGAAAAAAAAAAAAAAAAAAACCTGTATTTGCAGGAGTGCTTTGTGTAATTTCATTGCTTAGATTAGCAGCAGCAGAGGAATTCCTTCTTAGCTTGGGAGGATTATAAGAACTGTCTAGCCCCCTGCACTAATAGGGACAAGGCCACACATCACCTAAGGGAAAACTAAAAAGCCAGCATAAGAGAATGGGCTGCTTCTTCAACAAAATCGATCAAGAAATCTACCCTACACTACCTTGATGGAATATCTACAGTACTGGATTGCCTACGCAGTGTGCCTGCAAGACATTGGCTTGGTCAGAGCTTCAGTAGAAGGTGAGAGATGTAAACAATATAAAAAATGGGTTAGCAATGAGAAACATTCTAATCGTACCTAAAAAAATGAATAATCATGCATGAAGGAATCTTTATATTGCTCTTAGCAGTCTCCAACATCCTAGAAATAATCAGATGGATTTCACAAATCATATCCTATAAGAGTTTGATAGAACTAAGAAAGGAGCATTCCCCATTTTCCTTAACTGTAGTTCATTAATAGCAATGACACATTCCCTAATTCCTACTCCCTAGTCATATTTCAGTTACATGATAACAGAGAAATTTCCAAGCATACCCTTAGGCTCCTCCTTTTGTGGAAGAATTGAAAATGATCCAAAGAAACCAGACAATCGCTCTAGTGTTGTCTCTGAAGTGGATCTTTTAAACATCTGCAATAAAGATCTTACATTTAGAAATGGGGAAGTTGAACAGTCTTCTTAAATAAGGACCTAAATCCATATGCCAAACTAGAGGATGGTTAGGATAAACCAAGGAACGCTTACAGATTCTTTGTTTGCACCGTACTTGCTCTGAATCTGCATGCAACCAGCATTTTTGGATATTAGCACACACACGGAAAAAAAAAACCCAACAAACTGCAACAGAATGTAACTGCATAAACTCGCCTTAAGAGAAAAGTCAGTAGCATCTAACAGCAGCAATTTGGCTTCAAAGTAATGTGCCAAAGCCTTGGCAAGCATTTGCTGGTAAGGCTCTTCAAGAATTACAAAAAGATGTTGCAATTAAAATTTGATTCCATATGTTAATGCAGGTATATGAGTGCGTTTATTTTAGACCAAGCAAATTATAAGCTCTAGTTAACAGACCTGCAGGTCCCGAAAGCAAAATGTTTCGACTTGCCGGTGAAAGGTTCCTTATATACTTGGAAGCTTCAGTATGCTTCAAGTGGACATAGGCAGCACTTGTTAGCAATACCCGAGTCTGCTCACTGTAATTGCCATCAGAAAAATGCCATAGAATGCAAAATTACATACCGAGGTTGTTCTGAGTACTACAAGCGAGTTTCAGTAATAAAGTGATTTCTCACAAAGCACATCGAGGAAAAAAATAAGATGTTTCTTTTCTCAATATATATATATACTAGGAAACACGTATAATCTCTATTCAGTCTTGTCTATGCTTGAGCTCTTGAGGAGGATCTTCATTCTACATTTAACACCACCAATTCCGAGAAAGGATAACAGAGTTTACAGTGCTTTAGTTAAAACTAAAGCCCAGTGGTTATCATATAACAATTATAACTAGTGTGGATTAGAATAACCAGAGGTAAAATTTCTTCGGAGCTGCGTATGTTATCTGTACATATTTGAAGTTTAAAGCGGCGTTTTTTTCGTTATTATTATTACACCATGACATAAAAATTTGTACTTGTAGTTTGGACCCGTAAAAGCAGATGCATAAGATAAAAAAAGAACTGGAATAAACTCCCAGTACTTAATTCCTGGTCCTCAATTTCTAAACACCAATCAACTTAATAAACTGTAATTATTAATTAAATAAATTCTTCTAGGAAAGGAATATGAATCTGGGAAGCTGGAAAGATACCACAAATAGGAAGCTAAAATATTTAAACACCGCACACAAGAAACAATCATTAAAATAAACTTACACACACATATCCAAGTGAATGACAGAACCACATTGAACGAAAAATTAAATAAAATTAATGCTAATTTTACATAATAAAAATTTTCCTAGTTTTTCACATATCCAATGACTAAGATATTCCGAGATTCTATATAAAATTAGCATTAATCATTAAAATAATAAAGTGTATACCGGGACCCGCTCTAACCGTCCACAGACAGAATCCAATTGTATCTAAAAACATTATGGTTTATAAATAAACTAAAGATAATCAAAACGGAATTCTATATTATTGCCCCTCAATTATTTCACGCACAAACACAATTCATACTCGAGGAGGCCTCGTTCTGCTACACGCACACACTTAAAAACCATCTGCCATAGAATAATATCATTTTTAGCCACAATTTCGCTTTTGAAAAACAAATTTTCTCAAATTTTGATATTAAAATTCAAAAAATTATTGTTGACCCAGATTATTAGCCGAATGTTACAAGTTCATATCCTCCATGACCAAACTAATTTTTTTTTTAAATACTGTTAAAATACCCATATGTCTACCGATAGATGCAAGTTTCTACACAAACTTAATATAACACCATAAAAAGAAGAAGAAGAAGAAGAAGAAGAAGAAGAAATCAGTGTAACAAATTAAACAGAACATTATATAATTAAAAATAAAAAATAAAAATCATCAGTGTTTGATGACGATGACTAAAAACTTGAGCAATTCCGTTGTAGCATACATATTTATCCAGCACAAAATATTGAAATTTGAAAAAAATGAGAGAGAGAAGAGAGAGGTGATGGACACCTGAGGTAGTAAGGGAATTGATCAAAGGTGACACCGCTCTCTCTACCATCAATAATTTGCCTAAGCAATTCTTGTTCCATCGTCTCCAAATTTATACCGTCGGAAGCCGAAGATGCGTCTCCTCTCCATTTACTCACTGTTTTACCTGACGCCAACCCTATTCCCACCCCTACTCCTACACTCAACGCGGATAACACTATATGCTTCTGCTCCATAATTTCCGAAATAATAGAAACACAAGTTGTTTTTGTTCAATATGAGGAGGAAGATCTTTTTAGAGAAAGTTTAAAAAGAGCAACGGATAATTTAGAATCACACAGTGAATAAACGGTAATGGATTTATTTGAGTGAGTGAAGCTTTCCTCTTTTTGATATTTAAGACAGAAACCGATTTAAGCGACTCTTGTTAACCGCTACTCTGTTTTTTTTTTCTCTCTCTCTCTCTCTCTTTCTAAAAATATTTCTGTTTGGTTGGTTTTTTTCACCTAAAACTGAGGAACGAAAGAAGCGGATCTTTAGACACGCAAAGCTTGCTTAGAGAAGTTTATGAGAGTACGGAAATGGTGCGGCGGCGGTTGTCGTGGTGAGCGGTGGCGGCAGTGTAGAAGGGTGGTGGTTATAAGGGAGTTCCCGCTTTTTCAGGAGAGAGCCTCGGGGTTTGAGTTTTTAAAGAAGAGAGGATTGGTGGTGGACTGCTGAGTTGTTTATATAAAGTTTGTTGCGTGTCGATGTTTGGCTGAGTTTGACAGTTTTTTATATATATATATATATATATTATTATTAGGTTTTATCTTCTTATTTCTTTTTTCCTTACCTTTAAAAAATTAACATATTTATCTTACTTTTAACACAACAATTTCAAATATTTATTATCAATTTTTATAATTTAAATTCTAAAATATGAATTTTTATACAAAATAATTAATTTGAATACTTAAATGTGTATGTAAAAATTATATGAATTGTGAATAAATTACTATAGGAAGTGTTTGAATTTATTATGAAAATAAATTAATTTTCAAAAAAATGTGGAATAAATTGCAAACATAGGGACCTAATTTGCATAGAATTAGGGATCCAATTACTTAAAATTAAAAGTTTAAGCTTTCAAATAAGATCATAAATGAACTTGAGGAGGCAAAAAATAGTTAGACAAGCTTTAAAGAAAGGACCTAAATTGGTCAATTGAAAATTTTAGAGGGTTTATGGAGAAGTAAAAATTGGATAAAGTAATAAATAGAGGGACTAAAATAAAGTAATTTTGGGAGAGGTTTTTCTCTATTTTGCCACCTCTTATCCTTAATGATTAAGGGTTATTAATTAACTTTGACATATGGACACAATTGATGGTTAAGATAAAGTAAAATGGAGGGATGAGATTTAAAGAAAAATGGAAGGTTATAATTAAAACAAATGAAGGGTTGAGATCGAGTCAAACTACTAAAAAGTCTACCTAAACTCTTCGTAAATAGGGCTAGAAAAGGTGGTAAAAAATGTTTAAAAAATTAGAAAAACTAGGGAAAATTCTTGCAAAATTCCCATAGAAAATCACAAAAAAGCTCACCTAAACACTTTAAATCATGGAAGAAAATTTAGAGCTCGTAGATTTTCTAGCAAACAAAAGTCTAACTTTTCCATCGGGATATTAGATTATTTCTTTTAATTTTGTGGTCGAGCTTGTAGGGCATGGTGGTTCGGGTCTTGTTGCTCCTTCGAGGATGCATTCTTTTAGGAGAGAAATGTCTCTCCATTTTATGGGTTTTTGAATCACAACATTGGATTTGGTTAGATCATTTTGTAGAAGCATGGTTTCTCCTTTCTAGAGTTGGATGAGGGCTTTAGAAGCAAAGGCTATAACCATAGTTTTGTAGTGAAGTTTGTAAATTATAGCAATTGGTATAGATCCTACATTTATCTTGTAGTTATGAGTTTTGATTTGTAAGACAAGATAATGAAGAATATTTTTGTCTTTTAAAGAAATTGTTAAATTTGGATAGCAATAAAAAGAAAAAAAAAAAGACAATTATAAAGACTAGATTCTTCATAACTATGTAAAGAATCTTGAAAATCATAGAATTAGGCATCTCTAAGAACAGTAAGGATTGTTGTATTTAATCCTTATTTTGTAAGGGGTTTTATTCCTACTTGAACTAACTCAATGTGAATGTAATTATATTTCTTGTCTTTATGTTTGTTATGGGATGTTTGCAAGAAAAGTTTAATTATTTCAAAAGGTTATGTTAAATGTATATATCTTTCTTAAGTTTTAATTGTATAATCTGTCTTTGAGAATAAATTAAGTTTGCTTTGTTTAAAAATTTGATCCGTTGTATTTTAGGGATTTCCCAATCATTAATTGTTTTCTCAAAATTTTCAATCATTAACTCTTCACTACTTATTATCTTCTCCCCCATTCTAAAGGTAGAAGAGCTAGAGACAAAGTGAGTTCTAGAAAATAAATCTATATTTTTAAACTATTACCAAGGTACAAATCCTACATTCATCCATATATATATTCAAAATAATAAATAATATTTAAAAATATGGTACGATCGGGTATTGTTTTTAAAATATAATTTTTATTATTTTATTTGAGGGAATTGATTTTAAAAAAATAAATATTAAGTGTATTTTGTGTATATGTACAATCAATTTGTAATTAGAAAACTTATAAAATTAATTTTAATATTTAATTATTTATAAATAATATAATAGAAATTTTTTTTAAATTTTTACTACTCGAATATTTAGTCAAGTGAATTGCATATAGCACAAATAAAAAAAAACACGGAAAATCAATACATCCGCATGTAGATTTAAGTCTGCTATCGAATGTAGCAAAAAAGAAAATATCTTCAAAAACAAATTCAACAGATCAAATAAGTAATTTTTCTAGGGTTTAGGCAAGATTTTTCTAATCCTAAAGTCCTTTCAAGTTTTTGGACCTGTCTAAATTATCGGTGAGATAATTTAGCCTCGACCTTATGCACTAGGAAGTATGAGAATGTCATTTCATAATTTCCTATGCATAGGGTGAGTTTCGATCTAAATGAGATTCTAGATAAGCGGTAGTAGACTTTCGTCATAATTGCCTCTAGATCTCTTTATCTAAATCCAAAAGGTTCTTTAGCTCGAGTCTAGTGTTTTCATAGGATTTTCTCATAAGGTGAGCGATAATTCAAAGCAAACACATTCAACCTAATTCACAAAATATGTACATAAATTAAAGCACTAAGAAAATAAATTGCATAAATTAAGGGACTTGAAGTATATACTAGAATTGAAATAAATAACTTAAAATTAAATTAACAAAATAAATGATTTGAAAAATAAATGACATGAAAAATAAATTAAAAAAATAAATAAATAAGATAAATTAAAAGGATTAGACCTATGGCCTAACCCTATCTATCCTCGGAGGAATTATCATTCCGTCGAGATTCGATATTTAAGAGACTTCCAAAAAATATCTAATTAAAAATTATTTGTTTATGGTTATTTACTAGAGATGTGTTTAATCATGTTTTAGAGTGGCCAACTACTATTAAAGAAACTAGAAAACCTAAAATTGATATTGATTCAAATATATATATATATTTGGTTATGATCTTGAGTGATAAGTGTATTTTGTGATAACATACATGGAAAATTTTGAAATTTAAACTTCTAGCACATTCTAAATGTGACTTAGAGTCATTTTTCATTGAAGGACAAAGATAATTTTTTATTTATATTACAATGATCAAACGTTACAACCATTTGGATTCTATTACAATGCTCATGATATTTTGATTATGTAACATATCTCTATTTTACTCTCCACGACACTGACACCGGGAGATGAGGCAATAATGACTATGAGGTTTTAGAATCTTGTATGAGTTCCTCTTCAATAGTGTGCTTGTTGCTCGCAAGTTTCATCCTTTTTTTTTTTTTTTTGTAGCTTCAACATAAAATCTAAGGATAGATAGTCTCCTTCCTCAAACTAGGCTCGCTCTAATTTAACCCTAAAATCCTCAATGTCATTCTCTATTATGATTTGATTAGATGATAACTTGCGAAATAAGGGTTAAAATTAACATCATTTAAAGATAGTTAAGGTCTTGAATGGGCAATCTTGATGGATAGGATCCGACTTTTCTAGAGTTAAGGCAAGATTTGTCTAATCCTAAAGTCTTTTTAAGTTTTTGGACCTGTCTAAATTATCGGTGAGATAATTCAGCCTCTAACCTTATGCACTTAGAAGGTATGAGAATGCCATTTCATAATTTCCTATGCATAGGGTGAGTTCTAGTCCAAATGAGAGTCTAGATGAGCGAGTAGTAGACTTTCGTCATAATTGCCTCTCGAATCTCTTTATCTAAATCCAAAAGGTTTTTTAAGCTCAAGTTTAGTGTTTTTGTAGAATTTTCTTGTAGGGTGTGCAACGAGTTCAAAGCGGACACATTCAATCTAGTTCATAAAATATGTACATAAATTAAAGCATTAAGAAAAAAAATTGCATAAATTAAGGGACTTGAAGTATATACCGAATTAAAATAAATGACTTAAAATAAAATGAAAAAATAAATGATTTGAAAAATAAATAGAATAAATAAATAAATGAGATAAATTAAAAGGATTAAACCTATGGCCTAACCTAATCTATCCGCGAGTGGAGTTGTCATTCGTTGATATTCAATATTTAATGGACTTCCAAAAATTGTCTAATTAAAAATTATTTATTTATGGTTATTTACTAGAAATGTGATTAACCATGTTTTAGAGTCGTCGACTATTATTAAAGAAACTAGAAAACCTAAAATTGATACTAGTTCAAAGATTCTAAAGTAAGGAGTTAGTTATACATATAGGAAGATATCAATTAGCCAAAGACATCATTTTCTAGAAAAGATACCATGTCTAGTTTAATCCTAAAGTTTATCTCCTAAAAATTTCTATTTTTTCCAAATTATTTGTCAACCAATTTTCAAGTTTCTTATCTAAGCCAAATTAATTTTTTTCTTTATGACATCATATTGAATTGATCGTTGAACCCCAACGTTGGGAGTCTTGTTAATTCAATATCGAATCCAATTTAAGTATCGACATAACCGATATGTTGGAGAATGACCTAATTACTAAAATATGATTGATTAACATCAATCTCTATCGGATACGAGACTTATTAAAATTACTTAAAACACTTTCTTTCTTCTTCTTCTTCTTTTGTTAT